TTTCTTGATTCGCTCTTTGACCAACTCGCGCAATTGCGGGCGATGCGGCTCCTTTGATGACTTGTCACGTTCCGGAAGAACGGACATCGCAGGCGCGTGCCGGATCACAGGCAATGTCGGCTCGCCCTCGCGGGCGGCGCTGGTCGGCTTTGCACTCGATGCGGCTTCGGGGTGCTCGGATCTGGCCTCCGAAGAGACTGCTGTCTCAAGCACTGCCTTCTTGGCATCTGCACGGAGCTGATCTTCGTACTGCTGGGTTAGGGCCTTTCGGTCCTGACTGCCGAGCATGACCCACATGTCAGACGGGATATCGGGAGGCCTTTTGGATCCGGCCTTCCTACGGACGAGCCGAACCCCATCCCACACATAGCCATCAGGTACTGGTGACCCATCAGGCATTATGCTCGGGTCGAATGCACCGCCTTTGTCGGGCACGACAGGCTTGGTCTTCGCTTCGGATTTCTCCGATGCGGCGGGTTCCTCGATGTGGGCTTGCCCACGCTCCAACGGCACAGGATCATCTCGTGTCCTAGCACTGGCAACAGGTGGATGAGATGCAGGGTCTTTCAACAACCTCATCGGGAAGATGAACTCATCAGTCGGAAGCTCAATGCGCTTTGTTCGCTGTACCGTGAGGGACGCATGTTCGATATGGTAATCGAGCCCTTCTAGTTTTGCAACGAGGAACTCACCCTTCCATGCGAACCCAGGCTGAATATGGTACCCGAGAAACACGCCTTCATTAGATGTCGGCGAAGTCTTGCCTGCCTGATTGTCAGCTCGTGCAGGGTTATTCCAGAACAGTATCTTTGCTCCGAAAGGTATCTCAGCTTCATCAAAGGTCTTGTTAAACCTGAGGTACCATGGCGAATCGTTTCCATTCAACTGTGGCAGGATGTTGGTCGCAACTGCATTGTGCTGGATAGCAAATGGCCACATCGACAGTGGGAACCCTGACTGAACAAGGTTCGCACGTGCTCCCTCCAACAGATGTCTGATTTCTCTTTCCACGAAAGATTTGGAGGAATCAACATATTCAATGGAGGTCTGATGACGATACCCCAACTGCTCTATTGCGGCTTTCAATTCCCGGGAGTTATCGGTGTAGAGAACTTCAACCTCATCCCTACCGGAAATGAAATGCTGGATCCCTGCGACGGATTGCTCCGTGCTTTTGCTGGTCGATGGGTAAACGTACCTGAACTGCGTATGCACGTCCTTGATCACAAGAGCACACCATTCACCTTTGATGCCTTGCTCGATGTTGGTCTTGAGGATCACATGATCAGCAATGATGTGATCTCCAAACGCTTTCGTTTCGAGCCTTCCCTGCCCGCCTTTCGATCTCGCATATGGGGCAAGCATCTTGGCGCGTTGGCAAGTGCGGCAAAAGGGATTCTTCGGATAGTGTGCAAACAAGTGCTCTTTGGTACTCGCTTCGGCAACCAGATCTTCCTCTTTGCGGGATCTCACAAACCGCTCAACTTCGTCGTCGGGATCATCACCTTCGTCGATGCCTTCGTCATGAACTGGCGCAGGCGCTGGCTTGGATGCTGCTACTGCACTCAACGATGGCTCAGCTTCACAACTAGAGTCCATGTATGGCACATGACCGTCAACCTTGAGCTGGATCAGAGCACCGTCAGGGCGAACCATGGTTGGTGCCTTCCCGGATTCCCAATGAAAGGAGTATCCTTGATCCAGACACTTCACACCCAGCGACAGCACTGCGGGAGAACTCTCGAGGATGTAAGGCTGAGCAGGCTCACACAATGCATCGACATTGATGTCGGCGATTTCGGAAGCAGTGATGTTTCCGTTTGCAGTCACAAGGCGAATAGGCTGCGGGGCCTGTTTTCGGATTGCCTTGGACGCATTCCTCAGTGCAGCCTTGCTGATGAGGTCCTGCTCACTACCGGAATCAATGAGCCACACATCCTTTCCCTTTGGGGCAGGGGTGGCTGCCCTTGGCGCTTCGACATCCTTGCGAACATCGTGAGGCGGCATGGCAACTCTCAGGCACTCATCACACGATAGGCTTGAGATGGAATCGGATTCCACATCGCACATGAAACCGCAAGCGGGCTGGGCTCCATTCTCCATGGCTTTGACTACGGCATTCAACTGATTCGCGGCCTTGCGCGCTGCCTTGTTAGTCCCTTTGGTCGGCCTGGGGCAGTCCTTGGCACTTGGAAACATCCTATTGTACTGACGTTCCTCATACTCAAGCTTGAAACCATCGCCTTCGGCGGGGATCTCATGAACATGAGCGTTGGTGTCGAATGACACTCCGATTGGGTTGATCGGCTTTGCGAACATGGCGTACCTGGTGCAGACTGCAGCGGCTTTGGCCTTGGGCTTAGGCTTAGGTGAATTTGCACGCTTCTTAGCCGCAGGATTTGCATTGGCCTCGCTGCTCGATGCCGCGGCGGCAGATTTGCCGCCCGTGGAGGCATGGCTAAACTTGCATTTATCACCTCTAGTGCACTTCCCTTGGGCAAAGAAAGAACACGGTGCTTTCTCTCCTTTTCCGCCTTTGGGGGAACTTGGCCTGCCACGGGTCGCAGAGCGTCCTCGCGGCTCCTTGCGGTGCGCGTAAGGGCAGTTTGCCCCCCTCGTGCACGAGCCCTTCTGAAAGTCAAAACAGTACTTCTCCTCGGTGTCCTTCGGCTTAGGTGCGCTCTTTTTCTTGGGGTCCCTCTTTTCAGGGGCGGCAGCACCAGCCTTGGGCGTCGGGGCTTTACTGGCATTGACCTTGGACACGCGCTCTCGGTTCTCGCGGAGCCTATCCCTCTCGATTAGATCCCTCATGCAACGCATTAGGAAATCGTACGATTTGTTGGGATCATCATCACGGCAACGATCATATGTGTCAATGTCATACCGCATCAGATGGCAGCTTCTCACTTGGCGAAGCAAGATGTCTTTCAACACCTTTTCTTCCGGCGGCCTTTTCATGCCGGCGATCACGGAATCCCAAGCGTTCAGGAAACGCTTGAGATCAATGATTCCTTCGCCGTGTCGCGAGACACGCAACAGGTCCTCCAAGGAGTAGAGGTTTCCGGCTTCTTCACTGGTCTTGAAATATTGGTCAAACATAAACAAGACCTGCCTTCCTCTCATGGCCTTTCCCTCCTTGGCACATTCTTCCTTTGCTGTTAGGATTCGCTGAGCCAGATCGCCTTTCGCTGAACGCGTGAGCGCTGCGAGAATCTTCGTGTCTAGGGTCACGAATTTTCCCGGTTCGCCGAGCTCCTCCAACAGCTTCTTCTTGTCCTCGCGATCGGACCAGACTTCCATGATCCAAGGCCAAGCCTCGTCTGGACGGTCAGATGCAGCGCGGACGTCCTCACGAACCGATGTCTTCCATTCACGGTACGTTTCAGGAGTTGGCATCTCCTTGAATCGCAACGTCTCGCTTTCGCGAGTTCTGGGCTTTTCATCGTTCGTGTGGCCTTTTACTAACTTCATCAACATTTTGGCGAATGCTTCTTGGCCGAGGTTAGGCCCGAGGCCATCACCTTCGTCTTCATCACCATCGCCATCGCCATCATCATCAGGTGGCGGACCGCCGGGAGGCTTACCACCCTGCTTGCGGTCAGTTGACATTGGCCCCTGAGAGAATTGCAGGGGTGGGACCGGTGCACTTGTTTTCACCGGGGATCGGCTGCTACCTGATGGCTTTTCAGCTGGTCCTTGCGGATCGCGAGCATCTGCGGGCAGTGCTTCGCATTCGGCAGTTGGAATCACGCTGGGGGTATATTCATCCCCGTAACCGTCATAGGTAACAAGCGACCTCAACTTTTCCTTTGCATATTGAAACGGATGGGTCAACGGGTCCAACATTGACCTTTGGGACCGAGCTGACTTCATGTCGTCGGTCATCAACTCTGGGGAATCCTCTCGGGTATCACCTACCCCTTTGGGCTTCGATCCATCCTCGCGGAGGTCGTGTTGCTTCTGATACTTCTTTAGCTCATCGAGCTCGTCCTGCAGAAGCCCGTTTTGGTGGGCCATCATGTCAACCGTTCTGGCGTGTGTAGCCTCGACACGGGCTGTGTCATCGGCATGCTTGGCAGCTTGCTCATGGAGGAGCTGCTGGGCTTCCGCCAGGGTGGATTCGATGGCTTGCCTAAACTCAGTTGTTTTGCGTCCCATTTCCGCTTCATGCAATGCTTGGGCATTTTCCTCACACACTTGGCTTATCCTAGCTTCAGCGAAGTTCACTTCTTGCATGAACTCATCGCTCACTCGCTGTTCGTATTCACGAATCCTATGCGACTGGGCTTGCACACATTCAGCGTAGTGTGCATGCAGCTGATTCTGTGCGGCACGGAGCTCCTCACGGTTTTCCGCTTGCAAATGCGTAACAGCTGCTTGATGCAGGGCTTCGGCTTCAGACCTAATGGCTGCATCATTCCCAAAAGCAAAGATTGCGGTATTGTACAGTTGAAGGGAATTCATCAGGGTGCGGTTGTATTGCGCATTAGCGCTTGATGCGAACATTCGCACACCGCCGCCGGTGGCGTTGCCGGAGCTAGCTCCGGCAGCATCCACAGGCATGCTGGATCCATCAACTGGCACAAGGGAACCGTCCATTGCTTAGAGCTAGGGGCCTACGGCTGATAACCTATAGATTCAAGGGTTATCGGTTTGGGGCCCAAAAGGAAACAACAAACCGTCCAAGTGCGCTGCTCGCACATTTTCACGCTTGAACAGCCACACTGCGGATGCAATGGATGTAAAACCCCAAACTGACCGATCAAATTCTTCAGCAGCTCAGTCACGCATTGTCATTGGGGTAAAAGAAACTGGGAGCACCCCCTAACACGGATCACTTTACAAAAGGCAGCAACAGAACAATAAACAAAACACGAAAGCCGCCCAACACAGAAAGAAACAAACACCGAACACATACACCAACAAACTAAACAGGACCAACGGCTGCCCTACTATTGACCACACGTGAAGAGCATCCTACCCAACTCACCCAGGCACTCCTGATCTCCAATGGCCATCTGCTTCAGCCCGGCCATTCGCACCTGGCGGGCCATTGGGTCATCCATCACGAGCCAAGTGGGTCCGCCCGGCGCGTTTCACTACTAGTACGTTTCAGCGCGAAACGTGTGCGTTTCACTTGCGTTTCAGAGTGCGTTTTCAATGCGTTTCGCTTCTTTGCATTTCCGCCCGTCAAGGGTACATGGACGGAGACAGAACACAGGATAGAAGCAAAACCCTTCGGAAGTGCCAATCTCCCAGCTTTGCCTTTTTTAAGAGAGGAACAAAGCAAAACCCTTCGGGGATTTCAATCTTCCGGCTTTGCTTTTTTTAGGAGCGGGAAAAAACAAAACCCTTCGGGGGTTACAATCTTCCGGCTTTGCTCTTTTAAGGAGAGGAAAAAAACAAGCCCCTTCAAAAGTACCAATCTCCTGGTTTTGTTTTTTTGGGAGAGGAACAAAAACAAACCCCTTCAAAAGTGCCAAACCCCACATCCACGTACAAACAATCTGCCTCCTTTGTCCCAAAACCTTTCTTTTTGCTTTTCTCGGGACCCAGAAAAGGCAAAACAAGCCAAGCACGCCACAGTGTGGCCTACAAATTCACCACAAAATATAACGTGATTTTGCTTTTTCTATGCTGGTTGCGTTTCACATGCTCTTTGTTTCAGCGCGTTTCCCAGTGCTTTTTTAGGGCCGCGGTTTCACCCGGCATGCGTTTTTCCCCCACTTAGATCACGAGAGTTGCCCACTGACGCTGGCAGCAAAAAAGGGACATTTTTTGGGGAGTTGAAGTTTTTAGCGAGGAAACCTCCAAGAAAATGGTGGAACTGAACAACTGCGGAAGCATTAAGACTGCGTGGTAAGGAAGCATCGATGGAAAACCTCGGCCATTGCGCATTTTCCACGCTCAAACAAACATTCATGATCAATAGAATGCCCTCGCGGTTGCCCAATTCAACATTGGTCGACTCAGTCTTTTCGTCTGCCACAAATTCGGGCAGGTGCAGCTTGAACTGCTCACTCGTGGAAAAAACACTCTAAACTCACCCCAAAACCGTTCAGCTAACGCCGCCCTGAAGCCAGCTGATGTTGCGACCTGATTACCGCTGATGAGTATTCCCCCGCATTAATACACAATTTAGTCATCCCTTATCTGTTGTTGAACTCCGTAAAACACCTCCTCCGATTAGTGCAGCGTTTTCGCAAAGCTCACAAAGGGTACCAATTTATTGCTACACTTTGTTCAAACATGAACAAGGTTTGACAAGCAAAGGATACCCCACCTCGAGGCTGGTGCTCACTGGGAATAAACCACAACTGATTTATCATCGCCCTCTCCGACACTGGAACAATATGAACAACTTCCTGTTGCTTTCCTATTGCAGTCCTTCTGGCCAAGACAGGGAAGGGACCACAGAGGACCAAAAAGGACGGTGAATTAAGATGACTTAAGGGGGGGTCCAGGGGACCCTGCGAAAACTGTGTTTTGGCAACCGCGGCCGGAAGAGGTTCACTGTCAACAGCAATCACAAGCGCGGATGCCCTACGTATTGCAAGTACAAAACATAATCCTCAACTCCTGAAAAATTGGAGGGTTTCATTAGTGAAAGCCCCACATTTAAGAAGGAGGCACACTGGAGAACGCAACAACACATGGGAAGATCTCAGTGTCCCTGTGTTCCCTTTGAACCATGACTTTCCCTAAATGCCATTGATCCATTGGTTTCCCTCAACTTGCTTCTCCTTTCAGATAAACCGTGCGTTTTCCCTTTCAAATGGGCTCGCACGGGAAAGCCTGTGCCGCCGTCCGCGATGTGCGCCTTCACAGCCTTGGGCTGATGCACATCCAGTAGCTCCATGGCGGCTGCAACGCGGGACTCCATCTCATCCTGCGAAATTTGAAGAAAAGGACCCTGAAAACAAAAAGCTCGGTTTTGCAAGGGGGGCATCAGTTCTCCTCAGAAAACAAGCTTCTGAGAATCAAACGCAAAAGCATACTCCAACCTCTGGGCGCTTGGTCGGAGGCTGGATGCGCTTGGGCATGCCTACCTCTGATCGAAACCTGAAAATCCGCAACAACTTGGCACGTTGATGCTGGTCGTGGTGAGTCCGAAACTAGTCGTGGTTCAATTGCACATCGTAGTCGTAGTTCAAATGAAGTTAGTCGTAGATATTCCCCCAAACCAGCCTCGCGCGCCCAGTCTGCGCCACACGGCCGTCCCCCAACCGCCCAGTCTGCGCCACACGGCCGTCCCCCCAACCAGCCTCGCGCGCCCAGTCTGCGCGCCACACGCCGTCCCCCCAACCGCCCAGTCTGCGCAACCAGCCTCGCACCCAGTCTGCGCCACACGGCAACCACACGGCCCAGTCTGCGCCACACGGCTGCCCCTCCAAGTCAGCCTCCCACACAACCGTCCCCCAGCAGCTCAGGTAAGCTCGGGTGCCTAAGATTTGGCTGTGCACAACGAAACGGACATCCCCTCTTATCTCCACCGGCAAAGCTTTCATTGCCTAAAGCAGAACCTAAGCATCAGAGATGATTTGGCGCAACAATGTATGGAGGAGACCCCGGGAATGGTTGATCCCAACTGACTGTCGACGTAGCCAGTAATGTTGAAATTGTTGAGAAGGCACTGAAGGAACCCACCCTACACAAAATAGGGGTTGTTTCCAAGTAGTCCCAGGTGCAAACAGTGGCCCGAAATGTCGCGAAAGAAGCATCCGGGGTGATCCCATTTATTGGGCGGGGAAGCCACCAAACTAGAACAGGGTGAAGGTGGGACAGGCTGAGACTTTGTGATTCCAAACCCGATAGAATCCAAGGTCACTTTGAAAGGGAGGAGTTTGGTGTGCTTTGAGTAGTTGGGTTACAACCTGCCCCCTTTGGGTAAGCAAACCGACCTGAGGTGGGAATGTAGTTCTAGGAGACATCGTTTCACGCCCAATCAACCAGCGGTTCATCTGAAACCGGGGTTCACATAGTAAACACTTCGTCCACCTTCATGGGGCCGCAGGTGGCAAACCAAAGCCCGGGGGTCGCGGTTTCATTTGGCCAGAATGGATCAACAAAAAGAAAATTGCCACCCAAAAAGGCCGCTCGCAAATGGCTATGACCTTGTTGGAATCTCAGGCCCTGCGCCGTCTCCTCCGAAGGCTCTGAAGGCTCCGAGGGCTCCGGACAGGCCCGGCGTGCCTGTACCGGGACAGTTGATACCGGGCTACAGGGACTGACTCATGCCACAAGAGCAAACCAAGCAGCGTGCAACACCGCTGTTCTTCATGGAAGAGCTGGTTTTGTAGCAATTGTCTAAGAAGGGGCATTGGAAATTCTCTAAAATAGCGCCACGTGCCTAAAAGCAAGGCCTCTACCGGTGAATGCAAGCACTACCACTTTCCCACCGGACAAACGGGTATGTTCTTTTTAAGGGAGCACTGGTTGGGTGATTGCAGGTGCAGAATCCGATTTTCGGCAATTGAGGCACCTGCCAACGCAAACAGCAAGAATCTAAGCGGACAGTTTGCTTCTAGGTGGGGTGCAAAGAATCGGAGCGCTTTGCCACGGTGCCCCCCGAACAAAAGGGAAGGACCCAGGTGACGTATTTCATCGCCCGGCGAGAGCTGTTATGCGCTAAACGTAGCCGGAAGGAAATCGGGGGGAGGGGAGGCGCTAGGTAGAACACACCCATGCTCTCCAACTTCAGGGTCACGCTCTGGCTTGATTTCTGGAAAGATCTAATGAGCACCGAAGGTCGTTGCAAAAATGGCCCTGTACCAAAGCGGGGTTCCCACGACTCACAAGCAAAAGCATCTCTTTCAGCAACTTCCAAACAAGTCTCTCCAGGGCTTTGAAGAAGAAAAAGAACGGACCCGAATGAACCACTCACCTGAGCCCCGCGGCGAAAGCCTCCTGGGCGGCGGCACGCAAGGCTTCCAGCCGGAGGTCGCTGGTGCAGGGCTTGGGCCTCGGGGTAGGAACCCTTTGGACATCCTTCACTAGATGGCAGTGGTTGTCAAAACCGTTTTGGGATCCCATTTTGGGGTAGCACCACCCATTTTAGAACCTACTTTAGTGGGGATTGGGAAATTCACTGGGGGTGCGGGATTTTGACCCATGGCCAGATGAGGGTTGAGCCAATATTTGGCCCCAAATGACCATGGCTAACTCTTCCCATGTGATGAGAGTCGCAACTTTTTTGGTGGGTTCCCTAATGGTCACCCCATGTTTCTCCGCGTTCTAACAGGTCTGGAAAAACTCGGTATCTATATATCCCCGGCCATTGTTGGGGGTGGTCCTTGAGATTGCGATGGGATTCTCAACCTCAATGTGATCGATTGCTCGGAAAAAATTGCCCGTCGGATTCAGCCAACCCCCCCCCCCCCCCGACGCCCCCGCCCCCAACCGAGGCACATGGAGTGCTGCTGGATCCGCCCCCGCAACTTCTCGCAGCGGGTCTCCGCGAAATCCATCTCAGTGCAGAGCCTCCGGATCCAACACGCAGTGGGTCCATGTGGGTTCGCGCTTTAAGGCTCGGTACCCTTGTGGGTCCAGTGAGTGAAACACATGCCTTTTCAGGCTGGTGCAAAGGAATGCCAAAAGCAAAACTTCTTGTTGGACTGTCCCCTATTTTGAGGGGTTCCAATGGTGAGGGGTTCTCAAAGTTGTGGCGGCCCAGGGCAGGTTGCTTTGTGGACCCAGTGATGTTCCCCTAAGAAACCATTCAAATTTGAAGGTTTCAAAGTGGTGCAGGATTTCGTCCAACGGTTTCATCGGCAACAAGGGGACCCTACGTGTTCCCGAAGTACCCATTGCCCGCTTAACAGGACACCTTGATTGAATGGGACGGCAAGATCCGCACACAAAGAACATGATCCTCCAGCAGGTGCCGGCTTGATGGAAACTCTGATGCCCAAGAGACCCAAGCTGCAACCTTCACAAAAACGAGACATGTTAAAGAGTGACGTCGCAAAATGTCTGGTTTGACATGGCATGCAGGGGAGATGTGCACATGTACATGTGTGCAGTGCGCGGACGTGTCTATGAATGAAAAATTAGTAAACCAGCACAGATCACAAATACATGTATATGTGCATATACATTATTAAACAACCACATACAGATAGAGACGGCAATAACAACTGAAATGATCAATTCATAAACACAGAAACGTGCAACTGTATGTGTATGTATATATACACATACATATGGATAGACTCATAGGTTTAGGGACTCATAGGTTTAAACCTGAGAAAGCTGGCATCCTGTCGCTCGCCTGGCAAGCTGCTGCACCTTGGTGACTGAGCCTCGGGTCCCCGAAACGGTGCATCGCGCTCGCAATCCTCCGGGGCCCATCGGTGCAAAATGGGGTGGCCTGGATTTGTGTTGTTGTTGTTCTTCCCGAGAAATACAACTTCCCCCCCTGTTGGTAAAGGGCCACGCCCTATACAACATGTTTAAACACCCCTTGCTTTGAATAACCTGCTTTTGGTTTGCTTTTGAAGAGGACCAGGGTTCAGGTGTTTAAGCAAACTTGGCCCCACTCTTGCTTTTGTTGCCCTTTGGGTAATTTGTTTAAAGATATGGGATATTTAGCACCCGAACAGAATCGGAAATCGACCCACTGAGATTGAGGAGAAAGGGGGAGAATGAGAGCAACACAGAAACCTTGGCTTTCCCGGACCTGAACACACAGCCAATGTACCTCATCGATCAGTATTCGCCCCAGAAGGCATGTACGTAGTAACTACAACCTGCTTAACATTGATTAACATTCGCCCTAAGCGCCAAAACACCAAACGCACATGCCTGTGAATTGAACATTGAAAAACAACAACAATTGCCAGAGGCGCAAGAGCGGTGAGAAACATATAATTCCCTGCAACGAACATCCTCAACATGCCTCCTTGTAGGTTGGCCGCATCATGATTCTCCGAAAAGGCCAAAATACTCAGAAATGGAGTGGAACAAAGGAATCTAGCAGCAAACCGGAAGAGCCGTCCTAAGCACCCAAACTGCCGGCGTCAACTTTGGGGACCCCCAAAATGGCTGGTTTCCTTTGGTTGTCCCGTAAGAAACACGAAAAAATCGCGAGGTACCCTCAAACAGAGAGGCAAACCCCTTTGGCGACCTCGGCTTTCTCGCGCCTCGCGCCTCGCGACCTCGCGACCTCGCGACCCGCGACCCGCCGAGGAGCGCGGCTTCGCCATCCTCGGCGCCGTGCCGGACACGTCGCCGAGCTCCAGGCGCCGCATCTCGGCGCGGTGCAGCGCCAGGTCCGCGCCCAGCTGCTTGCCTCGGGGCTCGGAGTCCCTCGGAGTGAAGCCCAAGGCTTGAAACGAATGCTTCAAACAAACGGGCCTGGTCGTGTCTGTGTTTTTTGGGGAGGGAACCCATGCCATTGTGAAACGAATGGGCGTCGTGTTTTTTGGGGAACCCACTTTTTGGCCGATTTGAAGGGATTGAACACACAGTTGAACAGCCATAAACTGATTCAGGGCCCACCCGTAAGTGCCATTGCAGCCGAAAGACGTGACGACGAGTCAGTACTGGGGCCGTTGAGAACTGAGGGCTATCACCTTCCCATGGCTCCCCTTGTTACTCTGAATCCCTTCGGGTTTTTCGAACCTGGGCTATTGCTGGGCAAAAATCATAACTGTCTCCATCGCGGTAGACATATCAGTTTGAACTTGCCCCCAAATACCAAGCTGAAAAAGGGTGGCCTTAAACACAAATCCTTGTAAAGGCCGTGCTTTGGAAAAAAAACCTGGGAGAGTGATCACGCAAAAGAGACTCCTCCCTTCAACCAAAGGCTGATCAAGGGCTCTCCCAACATGCTCAATGATTCCACCTGAACGTGGCTTGTATCTGGTGTGGCTGAGCTGTGGATGGTTTTGTGAGGCACATGCTTAATCCTCGCACGGCTCGGCGCCTGGCAATGGGTGTGATCTCGAGGAGAATGAGGGCAAGCGTACAACAAACCAATTCTTATGTAACACTTGGAGCAGCTTGGTGATGATCAGGTAGGGTGTCTTGCTTCTGTTGGGGGTTAACCTAAGAACTGCAAAACTAGCTCCTGGCGCTAAACAAAGCCCTGAACCGACCCTATATAAGTCCACAAGAACTCACTAAATTCCACCATGGTTCAGCGTCCAAAACCCATTGACTACCATGGCTAAGGGCACTCACTTCTTCCTCAAAAAGTTTAAAGCCCGGGAACTCAGGAAGTGTGGCCAACAGGGGCGCTCGATTTTCCGTTTTGGAGGTCCAAAAACCCAGCCGACCGCGCTCCAAAGAAAACGGGCGAGCCGCAGCGGGCCGCCACCTCCTCCTCTTTGTCCCCGGCGTGCTGAAGCCAGCGGGCCGCCTCCTCCGTGCACCTAAAGTCACTGACTCGGTGAGTCATAAACCCATCGGTATCAACTCATTTAGGGCAACGGGATTATCCCTTCCTGACCTTCATCTACCGGGGTTTTCATTGTGGCTCGGGTGCATGAAAACACACACACACACACACACACACACACACACACACACACACACACACACACACACACACACACACACACACACACACACACACACACACACACACACACACACACACACACACACACACACACACACACACACACACACACACACACACACACACACACACACACACACACACACACACACACACACACACACACACACACACACACACACACACACACACACACACACACACACACACACACACACACACACACACACACACACACACACACACACACACACACACACACACACACACACACACACACACACACACACACACACACACACACACACACACACACACACACACACACACACACACACACACACACACACACACACACACACACACACACACACACACACACACACACACACACACACACACACACACACACACACACACACACACACACACACACACACACACACACACACACACACACACACAACTTGGACCTAAGTCCGAGGTTGCCTGGTACTGGGTTGGACCAAGAGAAGTTTGGCCTGTCACATCCGGTTTCTCCCATACCGTCGCATGTAAGACTAAAACAACACAATGTTTGGCTCACAGTGAGAAAGCCGAAAGGGTAAAAGTTCCATTCGGTTTGGGCACGTGAGGTCTCGATCGGCCATATACAAACATGGCCTTGCCAATATGTACAAGCGGTTGCTTTCCCGTCGGTTTCCCTGACAACTTTTAACACATCCACCTGCTCAAAGCCGGTATGACGGGCCATGGACATCAGTAAGATCCAAATGGGATTCTCCCTGTTCCCAGTGAGTGCAGCACGAGGTGCTCACGTGGAGTATGCTGCAGCTGTAGTTAGTCCCCAGCTCAATTGCTGATTTCCGAAGTCAAAGCAAACAAACAAGGCCAATATTATTCCAGGAGGCTGTTCCCAGGCTTCCGCTACACGGAAATGTGATTCGTGTGATGCAAGTTGTTTGCCGCAACGAAGCGCATTGGCAGTGTCACTCACTATGTCTCACTCCTGACAGAATTGACGGCCGTCCTTGGCCCCAAGCTTTGGTTGTTTGTCGAGCCAAGGCCCTTGAGCCAGTCCAAGCGTAAGGTCCCATCAAAAGTCATGACTCGCCAGTGACCCCTTCAATTCCTCTTTTGGGCAGATCATTTTCTGTAGTGAACCACACAAAAAAAAAGCATTGGTGCCGTTTCAACAGCATTGGTTCTGCCTGAAACCATGGTGAAAAAAAGAGAGTACTCTCAAACAAACACATGCACATATTATAGATATAGATATACTATACATATATAAGCATATATGTATATGCATACACATACATGTATCTAAATATATCATTGTTATGTCTGTCAAAACAGGGGGATCTCCAACCTGGTGCCAAACACACCGGACCCTGGGCATCGACGGCAAAGCGCCCGAAGCCTCGCCTCCCGAGCAGCTCCTCCGTGCTGCGCGCCGCGCCGCGGCTGCGCCGCGCCATGAGGCCCGCGGCGCGGCGCGCCACGGGCAGCTCGGCGTCGCAGGCGGCCCAGTGGGCGGCGCGGAGGTCCTGGCGCGGGGGGAGGGGTCCCCGGCCCCCTGGTTTTGGCGCTACGAAACGGTGGGGAGTACCCTATGTTTTGAGCCACAAAAAAAGACCAGGAAACTCAGTTTGCGGCCAAAAAGCTAATGACAAAAGAGAAAGAGGACGAGAATTGATTAGGAAACTTTAAGGCAGCTGTGAGCACAAGCAAAGGCTGAGAGCAGACAAATTAAATCGGCAAGATGTTGGGCGTGTCCTACCTCTTTTGGGGTGGTTGAAAAGGGCAACCACCATTTGTTTGGGTCCCTTATTTCGAGACACGCCGGTGATACTAGGGAAGGCATCGCCGCATGCAAAGCACCACATCCCAAAAACAGCCATCGCGCATCCCTCAACACAAGTGTCTATGCTGGAGTGCTCTTTGTCCTTTTTAAAAGTTGATACCCTTTTTGGCCTGCTTCAAGGCAATCAAACGGGAAACCACACTTTTGGCTGCTCCCACATTTTGAGCGAGATGGCCGTTCTGGCTCATTCCAGGAAACCTAGTCAACCGGCCGGAAACGCAGCACGAGGTGCCAAGCGCTACAAGGGCCTAAATAAATGGTCGAGTGGTGCAGGGGACCTCTTTTTGTAGATTAAAGGATGGAAGAGCACTTACTTAAGAGTGATGCATGGGGACTCTGCACCCACGACAAGCTAGCGACGTGGTGATGTGATTGCAAATGCGAAGTATGCTGGGCAGTTTGCGGAGCTGCCCAACTCCAGCACCTTGCCAACGATGCACAGGCGGGGAAGTGAGTCAGGGAAGGAATCCACCAGCTGGGAATCCTCTCGCGACCTTTAGGATCTGCGACTTGCAGGGCCCTGGGCCCTAACCTATTTGCCTGGTGACCAGGGGGAAAAACACCGTCTTCTCTTCATTTAAGCAAAGCAACAACCTGATATAAATATGGGCACTTTTTCGTTAGGGTCAAGCGGTTGTGGCCACACAACTCCCGGCCCTCAACAGAAAGCCGTGGTTTCCCTTCACTAACAAAATCAAACAACTACCAACTCCAAAAATGGTGCCAAAGCCAAATCATAGAATCTCAAACTTCGCCTAAGGCCTTAAGGCCTTAGTAGGGTCGTTTCTTTTTTGTTCTCCCCCGAAAGGGGGAGGGTTATTGGGGGGGGGTGACAGGAGGGACGGTTGGACTATGACAACAGGGACATCGCATCAATCACAAATTCTAGGTGTTGCCTCTTGTCTTCCTTGAACCTACCACCAAACACCACGCGGCGCCGTTTCTAAAGACTACGCGGGCCTCGGGCCCCGCTCCCCCCCGTCCGCCTTTTGCGCCCGGCGCAGCGAGGCGACGCGCGCCAGCTGCTGGAAGAGCTGGGAGGCGCCCAGCTTCAGAACCCTCGAGGGCGAGCCCGAGGCGCGTGTGACGCGCGGTCATTGCTTTGACTCCAGGGTTTACCTTTTCCACTGAAGGAACAGCCTCCCTTAGCGTTTCTACACTACCAGGGCTGCTTATTTATCCCACAAGCAGCGGACAAGGCAAACCATGGTTGTGACTGTTTCTCGCGATCAAAGTCAGAAACTGGGGTTGTTTCCCTTTGCGTGACTTTGAACGCGGTCAGATAATTCGGCCAGGGTGATGTGGGGTGGGATTGGTTTGTTTGAAGTTGGTGAGATCTCACCCATTGTTTCGTGGTTATCTTGAGGTAAACCGGTAAACCCCTTGGAGACAAACTCGTCGACGTGCACCTTGGCAGCGCTGGGGTGGAAAATAGGGGGAGGGGGGTTCTACTATTTCCATCTCCATGCGATGTCCGTTGGGGGAATTCAAGCAACCCTGTATTTTCATGAATAACCAGCTATTTCCCCCCCCCCGGCCCAAGTGCGAAAGACATGTGTTAAAAGCTATGGCAGGGCTTATTTGGATGAACAAACTACATCAATGACAGATAACAATGTAACGCCCTAGCATGAGAGGGCGAAACATGTATATACACTAGGTCCTCCAGTAGAGAGGTTAGAATAAGGGTACCCTTTTTGCTGTAGTCTATTTTAGTAGGGGAACCCTCCCCCAAAAAAGTCGGTGAAAGGGCACGACTGGGGGACCTAGTACATGTGTACTACATATCCCGCGGAAACATCATCCCACCGAAAAAGGAGCTTGGCCCAGCCTGCGCTCCATCAGCTGCCGGATCTCCTGCTGCGCCTGCTGCACGTGCCTCGTGGCGCACGGCCATTCCCCGCTTTCGTGAAGCGCTTTTGTCCGGCGGTCGCCCCGAAGTCTGAGTTTGGGGGCAAGAAATTCTGACAGTCACCATCCTTTTGCAGCTCCGGAATTGCAGGCAACTCTCGCATTTCGAGTCTTGGTTCAAGTGCTGAAAGCCTGGCGCAGCTTACCTGCCCAAAATGGTTGCGGGAATGAGGGGTTGGTTCCCCTTCTGTGATACCAGGCAACCTCCCTTGACAGTGAAGAAGCAACTATGCTTGTTTTACCCAGTTGCAAGGATTCTTCGTTCAGACTCAGATCCAAAGTGCATGTGGCAAACCTTGATGTGGAGACGTACCATTCCCAAAACCTCGCCATGTCATCTTCGAGTAATATGAGCTCGTCCTCTTCTTCTTCTTCTTCCGATTTGTGTTCAAGAAGCTTTACATGTCTGGAGCTGCAGAAGTGCATGCGGATCTGGCTGGTCTCTTTGAACTGCAAGCTGCAATGGCCGAAGAGGGATAAGATTGGATGCGCCCCACAAGCCTCTGTAAGATAGCCGCAAAAAGAGATAACCCCATGCTTCCCAACATGGCGACCCTTTTCGGTAAGGAAAACCCTTTGGCATCTTGGTGCACGTCTTGGCTTTAGAGAGACGCCCATACCCTCCAGAAGAGGAGGCGGCCCCTCCGCTCTCGAGCAAGGCGCAGGTCCGAGATCTGGGCCTCATCCAGGTGAAGGCCCTTGCCGCTGGGCAGCTCGAAGCGGTAGCCCAGGCGCACCAGCCTGCGCAAAAACAAAACAGGCACGCAAACCACAGAAAAAGAAAAACTCGGCGAAACACACACACACAAACAAACACACACACGCAAACAAACACACACACACACAAACAAACACACACACACACACACAAACAAACACACACACACACAAACACACACACACAAACAAACACACACACACACACACAACAAACAAACAAACAAACACACACACACACAAACAAACACACACACACAAACAAACACACACACACACAAACACACACACACACAAACAAACACACACACACACAACAAACAAACAAACAAACACACACACACAAACAAACACACACACACACACAAACAAACACACACACAAACAAACACACACACACACACAAACAAACACACACACACACACACAAACACACACACACACACAAACAAACACACACACACAACAAACAAACACACACACACACACACAAACAAACACACACACACACACAAACAAACACACACGCACACACATACAAACAAACAAACACACACACACACACACGCAAACAAACACACACACACAAACAAACACACACACACAAACAAACACACACACAAACAAACACACACACACACACACGCAAACACACACACACACACGCAAACAAACACACACACACAAACAAACACACACACACACAAACAAACACACACACACACACAAACACACCCACACACACACACGCACAAACACAAACAAACACACACACACACAAACAAACACACACACACACAAACAAACAAACAAACACACACACACACAAACAAACACACACACACACAAACAAACACACACACACAAACACACACACACACACACACAAACAAACACACCCACAACAAACAAACAAACACACACACAAACAAACACACACACACACACAAACAAACACACACACACACAAACAAACACACACACAAAAAAACAAACACACACCCACACACAAACACACACACAAACAAACACACACACAAACAAACACACACAAACAAACACACCCACAACAAACAAACAAACATACACACAAACAAACACACACACACACAAACAAACACACACACACAAACAAACACACAAACACGCACGCAAACAAACACACACACAACCAAACACACACACACAAACAAACACACACACACAAACACACACACACACACAAACAAACACACACACAACACACACACACACACAAACAAACAAACACACACACACACACACAAACAAACGCACACACACACAAACAAACAAACACACACACACACACACACAACAAACAAACACACACACACACAAACAAACACACACACACACGCAAACAAACACACACACAAACAAACACACACACGCAAACAAACACACACACACACACACACACACACAAACAAACAAACAAACAAACAAACGCACACACACACACAACAAACAAACAAACACACACACACACAAACAAACACACACACACACAAACAAACAAACACACACACGCAAACAAACACACTTGAACTCCAGATGGAGAGTGCTAATCTTTCGAGTACAACTGATGAGTCTCGAGTACAACTGATGAGTCTCGACTGGGTTCTGCTCGCGATGCACTCGGCTTCCCTCTAGCAGCGAACACGTTACCCGAAAGAACAAGAAGCACAAACAGCGCCGCAACCAAGGGGGCCAAAAGGACTTTCAGAATCACGGCATCACGGAATCACGGAACTGCAGGTACGCCGGAGTGGCCAACTCCGGTATCCCGTCTTGCTGCCTAGCTTTGTTAGACCAGGTCAGCAGCAAGACGCCTGGTCCCCCTGCTGCAACAGAAAAAGGCTTTGGTGGCAGGGTTCTCTGCCACTCCGCACACACACGCCCCTCTACGAGGGGCGAGAAGTCTCTTTTTCGGGGGGAGAAAAAACCCCGCGCCCCAAACCGGGCGAAGACCCCAACAGAAAACAAACGGAGCAAGGGAGCCCAAAAGAAACAGAAAGGCCCCAAGTTGGGTCTCCGCGGGCAAAACCCCAAACAAGAAACAAGAACAACGGGGAAGCCAGGCTTCGGGTCTCCGAGGGCAACAACCCCAACCAGCGCAAAAACGACCTAGACCTTGTAGACGAAAGGGACCGCGAAGGCAAAGAGGCAGAAGAGGATCAGGCCATCCCTAACCGGGCGAACAGGAAGTACAAGAAATAGCCCAGAGAGGGAAAGAAAAAGAAAGGAAAGAAAGAAAGGGACGAAAGAGAGAAAGAAAGAGAGAGAGAGAAACAGACACAGAAAAAGAGAGAGAAAGAGAGAGAGAGAGAGAGAGAGAGAGAGAGAGACAGAAGCGTATTTAGGGCGTCGCAACCGCCCGGGGAAAAAAAAGAAAGAAAGGAGCAGGGTGCGTATTTAGGGCGCCGCATCCCGCCCGGGAAGAAGGAACAAGAAGCAAAAGGCAAGGAGACAAAAAGGAGAAAAGAAAGAAGAAGGAAGAAGGAAGAGGAAGAGGGAAGTAGTAGTATGCGTTTTTAGGGCGACGCATCCCGCCCAGATAGGAAAAGAGGATGAAGACCAAGGCTCGCGGAGAAAGACGTCGAATCCCACACAGGGGCCAAGAGGACGGACCCGAAGTAGCAACGGAAGGGGAAGAAGACGTCAAGCCAAACTACGTGAGGAAGAAGAGGAGTAGGAACAGGAAGACAGACGCGAAGACGAAGACGAGGAAAAAGGTGAACAACGCGAGGACAGCCAGGCCATCCCTAAGCGGGCGAACAGGAGCGGGACGAACGCGCGGGTCACGAAAGGCAGCGAAAAGAGAACGGGAGGAAGGAGAAGCCATCCCTAAGCGGGCGAAGAACCAGAAGACGGGCACGCGGATGAAGAAGGCGAGAAAAAAAAGGGAACGTAGGGTGAGACGTCGCTATGATCTGACGGCTGTCTTCCCTTTAGTGAAACCTCGTTCCTGGTTAAATGTGAAATTCCGCGGTTCTATGATCAGCACGCTGAGGTCAAATTTTCCGACAGAGCCGGCCCGGGGTCACACAATGGGTACACCCGAGGATTCCCCACGAATGGGGTGTACACACTTGAACTCCAGATGGAGAGTGCTAATCTTTCGAGTACAACTGATGAGTCTCGAGTACAACTGATGAGTCTCGACTGGGTTCTGCTCGCGATGCACTCGGCTTCCCTCTAGCAGCGAACACGTTACCCGAAAGAACAAGAAGCACAAACAGCGCCGCAACCAAGGGGGCCAAAAAGGACTTTCAGAATCACGGCATCACGGAAATGCAGGTACGCCGGAGTGGCCAACTCCGGTATCCCGTCTTGCTGCCTAGCTTTGTTAGACCAGGTCAGCAGCAAGACGCCTGGTCCCCCTGCTGCAACAGAAAAAGGTTTTGGTGGCAGGGTTCTCTGCCACTCCGCACACACACACACAAACAAACGCACACACACACAAACAAACAAACACACACACACACACACACAGACACACACACACAAACAAACACACACACACGCAAACAAACACACACACACACAAACAAACACACACACACACACAAACACACACACACAAACAAACAAACACACACACACACAAACAAACGCACACACACAAACAAACAAACAAACACACAGACACACACACACACACAGACACACACACACACACACACACACACACACACACGCACACACACACACGCACGCACGCACGCACGCACGCACGCACGCACGCACGCACGCACGCACGCACGCACGCACGCACGCACGCACGCACGCACGCACGCACGCACGCACGCACGCACGCACGCACGCACGCACGCACGCACGCACGCACGCACGCACGCACGCACGCACGCACGCACGCACGCACGCACGCACGCACGCACGCACGCACGCACGCACGCACGCACGCACGCACGCACGCACGCACGCACGCACGCACGCACGCACGCACGCACGCACGCACGCACGCACGCACGCACGCACGCACGCACGCACGCACGCACGCACGCACGCACGCACGCACGCACGCACGCACGCACGCACGCACGCACGCACGCACGCACGCACGCACGCACGCACGCACGCACGCACGCACGCACGCACGCACGCACGCACACGCACACCCACACACGACAAACACAAACACAAACACCAACACAAACACCAACACCAACAAAAACACAAAGACAAAGACAAACACAAACAGGAACACGAACACGAACACGAACACAAACACAAACACAAACACAAACACAACAAACACAAACACGAACACAAACACGAACACAAACACGAACACGAACACAAACAAAAACACAAACACAAACACAACCACAAACACACACACACACACACACAGAGAGAGAGAGAGAGACACACAAAGAGACACACACAGAGACACACACAGAGACACACACAAAGAAAGACACACACACACACACACGCAGACACACAGAGAGACACACACACACACAGAGACACACACACAGAGAGAGAAATACACACACACACAGAGAGACACGCACACAGAGACGCCAACACAAGAGCACAACAATGACAAACCAAATGGGATCTCTGTATGTGGGGAGATTTCTAAAAATATGGGGCTTCCTTTGCTGGAGGGGCATTGGCATCCCACAAGGAAACCGTAAACGAGTGGTTTGATTTTGGGCTTGGCTCCAAGATAACCCTACAAAGGGGACATACATAAAACAAGGATGCAAACCAGATCGGTCCCGGGCTATTGAGGATTCGCACTTGCCATTCGAAACAAGCTCTGCATATGGCCCGAATCAAACCCTCTTTTGGGCAGCATGCGGCCCATCGGTGAGCAAAGGATAAAGGGCACCCGGGCCAAAGGCCATATGGGCACAGGCACCCTAGCAGCTGATGGAGAAGAAACGGGGGCCAAGCAAAACATCGGCTCTTTTACCCTTGCGCCGCCGACACCGTGCTCTGAGCCTGTAGTTTGGTCCAACTCGGCTGTAGCTTTGCCCTATCTCAATTAAAGGAATCAAGGTGGACACGGGTTGAACCCCCTGCAGACGGCAGCTCTCTGAGTTTATGGGGTCAGAGTGACTGTCCTATTTTGGTCAAAAACGAATCTTCAGGCTTCCTCTGCCCTTTAAGCCAAAGTGACGAGGCAATTTTGACACCATGCCAAGGGTGTGCCAAGAGGAATCCTACACTTTTAGGGATTCTTGAAACAAAAACACAGGTATCTCGAACAGCAAGCCACTGGCAACGGGAAACCCAAGGACACCGAGCCCAGGTTTCAACCCAGAGCCTGGGCCAAACACCTGGGACCTGCAAGAGGAACACGCGTGCGTCCCAAATTCACCGTTCGTCAAGCAAGTATGGAAACTGACAGAACTTGGCTCGAAACTGACAGAACCTGGCTGACTTTGGTGGAATCGCGCAATCCAACCTCTACGATGGTTCTTTCAAACCCCATTTTCATGTTGTGGTGGCCTGTGTTGCAAGCGCACCTCCCTTTGAAACGAAGCACACTACCTCATGCCAGTCTCCCACCCCCTCGCCCCCGCCAGTCCTTTGGGCGGTCCTTGCCGGGGAGGCTGCCGACTCCGGCGCCGGGACATCCAGCTCCCGCGCCGGCACCGGGGCCAACAAAGCGGTGTGGCCTGCAAATTCATCCGCGGGTAGACTGGCGTTTGATGGGAACCCTGCCTAAATCACCCGAACAGGCATCAGCTTGCGTGCATTGTGTTGAGCCGTTGTTGTTTTCGACAACTGTCACTCGCCACGGCAAGAAGCTGTGGCCTACCCCCCAGCACGCCAACACACGCCGACTGCGCTAATTACAAAGTTCAAGTGACTTTGCATCTTGTACGGAGCTCCCCGTGCTGAGACAAGATCCGCCCATGATTTGTTACAACGTGCGTGCGATTTCACCCTGGTTGCACAATACTTGACAGCTCGCAGCCCAGGCGACGCTGCAAACGCGTGTGCGCAATATCGACGTGATGCTAATCTTTGATCCTCTTTGATTCTTTTCGATCTTGTCCTCAACGTGGGTGCAAGCGTCAATTTGTTAGACTTTTACCCATGCGCCACACTGCGGAAAGCCACCGCGCGCAAGCTCCAAGTTGACAGAAATCGATCTTCGTATGCTGGGAGCTGAAATGGGTGCCAAAAAATGGGGTCTGCCGAAGATGGACCTGATTCCAGCCAGCATCCACACATTAGGACCCCCCTGCCCAGAAAGGTTCGCAGAACCCCGCTAATTAAGAGCCTCTTGAGTTCTATTTATCTTTCCGGGAGGGGGCACACACACACACACAACCGTCTTCTAGACCCACGGCAACAAATTGAATCTCTGCGCAGTTTTGCTTACTCCAAGAGCGCAGCTACCATGTGAGAATGTCTTTTGAGAACCCAAAAGCAAACTTCTACGTACATAGCAGCACGTAGCTGCAGAAACCAACTTTTGCAATACAGGCCAGCTTTTACGGGCACATCGCAGTGATCGGCTTGACAGAAAAAAGCCGTAAGCCGACTTCGCAGCACTCGACGGCACGGCCTCGAAGCAACGACTTGGCAGCATCCTGAGACACGCAGAAGTCCATCATGTAAGTAGCCCTGAGGGTACACCCCTTTGTAAGCACACTTCCTGAGTTGATGGGCCAAAAACAGCCCAAACTATTTTAGTTACCACTATATATAATGGTCTTCCCAAAAGTTTACAGTCAATGAACTCAGGAAGTGAGTAAGGCAAATCACGGCAAAACCAGCCAAATCCGTAGTGATTTGGGGGTAGTCATCTCACTCTTGGATCTTAATGGTTTTTGGAGTTCGTGTTGGTATGCTGCAGGCTTCTGCGGAAGCGAATTGTTCCAAGCATTGGTTGCTTTGTTTGGCGCGTGTTCCGCACGGGTTCCAAGCTAGTACGTAACAAACTCTGACAGGGCAGGCCGATTGAAATGGCACTTTCCAAAGAATTAGATTTGAGATTGCGGTGGGGTGTTTGATGCGTTGTCTTTTCAACGCGCTGAAGTGTAACTAGCCTGCTGTTGGGAATAGATGTTGTTTGATTTTGGGCTCAAGCCCAGTTGGAACTCCACGTGGGCTCGGCGCGCTTTGGAACTTAACAGGTTTGATTCCAGGAAGTTGTTCCCAGTCTCGGTTTGTAGGGTTTGCGCGGTGCTTTAAGCAGCATCCGTTCCATCGGGAAGCTGTATGAGCGCAGAGGCAAAGGGGGTCGTTGAATCACGACTCGCCTCCAGGCGCGGAGGCCTCAAGAACACCTTGACCAGGCGCGACGGTATGCCATGTCTCTTTGCCGAGGCTCCTTTTCAGCGAGGTGGCGCGCTGTACTATGGCTATGAAAAGCAGCCGGGCCCTAGCCTAGTTGGATCTAGTTGGCACGTAATCCGGACCAACAGGCATCGGGGTTCATGTGGTTACGCAAATAGTGCTCAGTGAGCAACATATTTGCATGTCAGAAACTACGCTGCCAGGCTTCTGACCCGTGTGACTCTCCAACGTCGCAAGTGTAACTCGCTGCGGGGCGGCTTTCCTGGACAATTCATTTCCCCTGTGGTCACACACGGGTTGTTGCAGCAACCAGATTTGAATGCAAGCGACACTGAGTTCTGCGAGCTTCGGATCCAACATTGGCACGTGTAGTCGGGTAAACCACACCAATGACACCATCAACTTGTGCCAAAAGAAGCCACGTGGATCACCGGCAATCTCAGCATCTGATGTCAATGCCCAAAGGTTATGATCCACTTGAACTCGCGAAGTCATTGCGGCTTGCTTGGCAACATCCCCAGCATCGCGTTTGCATCCTGAGCAGCACCAGCACAGCATCACCAGCATCAACAGCATTATCACAATGACCTTCTGGAAACAAGTGGTCCCTATCCGTGTTTTGTTGGGGACCGAGTGACCAAGGTTTGCAAACAAAATCTCGGGGAAACAGTGGTGTTTGATTTGAGTTCACCGTTGGCACAAATGCTAATTGCACTTCTTGTTCATAGCCACAAGGCCGTGAGTAAAACTCAAGCAAGTGCACAAACAAACACGCAACCAAAAACGTGTTACGAAGTGTCAAAACACTGTGCACGCGGTTGCCCGGCGCATGCAAACCAGTCCCCTAGCTGCATGCCGCCTAGCATCCTGCTGTCAATCTTGCAAAAGCATTGAGAAAAGATTGAAATGGGAGACATTGAAAGCCATGGCATTCCCATTGTGGGAAAAACATGCTGAGAAAATATTGGAAACCTCAAATTGGGAAACTCAAGTCTCTCTCTTTTTATCTCTCCCCTCCGCCGCAGAAACAACATTCGATGCGACGACAAAAGGATAAGCGATGAACACGCAAGGCAAGAGGCGCTCGAATAGATTCCTGCCGACGTGCCCCCAAAGAGATCCCAGCCAAGCAAAGCCTTGCAGCTTGCTTTCGCCTACCCCCCGCCCCTCATGGAGGGAACATTGGGAGCCATGGGGAAACAGTGGGGAAAATGTTGTGAACATATGGGAATGTTGGAAGCCAAGCAAAACATTGGAATCTATGAGACAAAAACAGCGATGCACATAAGAAAGCACAAAAGTTCTCCTGCGCGCTTGCGCTGCCAAATAATGAAGTTCTTTAAGCGTTTTGGGCATTGTGTGTCGAAGGTGCGAAATTGCGGCGTCTTGCGGGCGTTTGCAGTCATTTTGCGGGGTCTGCGATCGTTTGTGCTGGCTGCGTTTAAGAATGTTGCAAAGCCGAAAGTACCAGGGCCTTCTACTGGGAGAAGACACTTCCAGGTAACAAGCACCATCGCCACGCCGGTCCTGGGAAAAGGAACTCCTGATGCTGCGCGAGCTGCGGAGCCGGTCACGGCGGCGTTGTGGGTCCTCGTCAGATTGGGGGCGTGGGTCTGAGTTGTCGGACCTTTTAGAAGCTTTGGGAAAATCCGTGTGGCCAGCCTGTGGCGACGAATTTCAGCCGCCAGACTTGCCAGAACAACGTTGAGGGGGGGGGGGGCGACTGCCTATTGTTTGTAACATTGAACCAACCATAGTCTTGGCAAGCGAGTGGCCCGCAAACGCCAAGCTATAGGGCACCGCGAGAAGCCGGCTCCAAACTCGCTAGATGACCCGAGCTGCGGGCGAGAAGCGCTTTTCCCATGGGCGAGCTCAAGCTGCGAGCGCGCGCAAAAACTCCCTTCCCCAAAGAGTGGCTCCATGGCAGGCGCGCGGGCGTGCGGGCGTGCGGGCGAGCGCCATGGGCACGTGCGAGCGCGGGAGCAGCGGGCTCGACCAGAGCAGCAACCTTGTCTGCGCACGTTCCTGGCTGCGCGCCCCATCCAGCGGCCGAGTCTGAGGTTGTGACAGCGAATCCGTGCCGCAAGAACACACTGATGCCCTTGCTGCGCCATTTTTTTTTATTGTTGGGTCGTGCTGTTCTTTAACGGCGTCCCTCGCCCACAAACAGTCAAGGCAGTCTAGGAGGCGTGCTTAAAGGGTACCCTCTTGCGTCCTCTTTGGTCCTTTTCGGTCCTCTCTGTGTAGCATTGCTTCTATTTTAGAACAAGTCTGTCCGGGTTTTTGTTTGTTTAAGTATTGACTTTGCGCTGGTGTAGTACTAGGTTAGTACTAGTGCGTGTTGGTTTACTACTGACTTAGTACTTACACTTATACGGCTTTAGTGCAGCCTCTCGGAAAGTCAAGACTTTCACAAATAGGTATGGAAAGCTCCCTGTTGACTGTTTGACATAACTGAAAGATGCCCCAAGCAGTCGTTTGTGTACACACTTTGAATGATTGCTAGGCATGTGTTGTGGAGAGGTGCATGTGATGGTGGCCCAGCACGAAATAAGAAGAGGGACCAAAGCTTGACGGGTTTCGAAGGGCTTAGGCTTAGAAGGAGCGAGGCAGAGAAAAGACGTAGAAGAGTATGTAAGCTGCTGACTCATTTTCCCTAATGTTGGAGATGTGTTGTTGTTTTAGCATTACGAAATTGCACCCAACCTGTCGGATGTCGCTATTTAAGCATAAGCAGTATTGGTGGTGCCCCTACCAAAAGGAAACTGACATTTCATGGAACCCCTATTTTGAGAACCACACAAACTGACAGTAGACTCAAGGTGCTGTCAGTTGCTCGTTTCTGTTGCAAAACCACAAGCGCCAGCAAACCTGATCTTGCGCATGCTAACCTGGGTCGCAAGACGCCTGAACTCTCAGCTTGAAAGCTGTCAAACGCGCTCGTGCCTTTGGGCAAAGCAAACGTAATCCGTGCGAATCAAAGCATTCAAACGATGGATTTTGATTTCACCAGCGGTTTCCTAAGGAGTTTCCTCATCTGAGTTGGGTCAACCATTATTTCAATTATTGAGGTTGAACCCCAGGGTAACTAATGGCAATCTATCACTTTCAAGCGGAAAGATGAACGTTGTTTCACGCCATGCAAAGCAGAAGTTGAGGCTGGCAGTTTCTCTCCACTCACGGTCTAAGATCTAAGGGTTGTACGAAACGCCTCACATTTAAGCCCGTTTGCATCCGCAGGGTGCTGTTGCCTGTATCCCGGCTGAAATTGCCGCAAAAGTACGTGCTTTCTGCCTGGGCGTGTGCTCAATTGACACACTCTTTGCGCTACCTTACAAGGCTCCACGCGACTCCACAAAATGAAAGAGCCACCACCTCCAAGAATGCTGCTTCGTGCATGTTCGATCCCCTGGGCAAGCTTTTGACCATCAAATAGCCAACCTCGCCTAACCCAACTTATACCGCCCTAGCCAACCCCTGCTTTAGCCAGCCTCCAGCAGAATCCTGGCAAGTTTTGCCGGCAAGTCAGCTAATAAATAAGCTGGGACTAGGTGAATTTGGCAGCGACGTCCTCCGCGTCGTCTTTGACAGTGGACTCCGTCAGCGATCTACGTGCCGCCTGGCAATGAACTGGCTGCCCGGTAACATGGCCATGGGTCAAAATCCAAATCGTACCCCCAGTGAACATCCCAAACCCCACTAAAATAGGTTCTAAAACGGGTGGCGCACCTACCCCAATATGGGATCCCATTGGTTTTGACCCACAGCCACATGGTCAAACAACTTTGTATGTAGCATCTCGCTCGCTACCCAACTTTCGCCTGATGCAGATCTCCAACTCCCTGACTTGAAACTACATCAACCATTCCCAGACGATGTCAATCTATTCCCAGTGAATGCTGTCAAGAACATAACATCCACCCTAATTCGAGCCCAGCCTCTGCTTTGGGCTGTTGCTGCGGCTCGGGAGTTGCACTTGCGCTCACATCCGAAGCGGGGCTGACAGGAGCTTGTGCATTTGCTGCGTCCTGTCCGATTTGCAAACCGCGTATAGTACTTAAGCCAAATTGAGAACAACCATGTATAAACAACCAGCAAACACGGAACCCTAAAGCAATCTGTTTCATCATTCACTGCTTGCCCCTTTCTCACATTGCCCCCTCGACTCCTCTACTACTACTGGACAACATAGACTCCAGACTCTCCGACTTCAAACAAACTTGACAAACGTGCTGCAAGCGCAAACTACTGAAAGAGCAGAAACCAAGTCATCAACAGAAGGACAAGCACCTCATGGCATAGATAGCCTCTCTGGATGCTAGCCGGCCGCTTGCACGACGCTGTCCTCCGTGACCTCTTTGACGGTGGACTCTCTCTTCGATCTGCTTGCTGCCTGATAAAGCGACTGTCGCTCCACTTGGCACCAGAACCATCTTGCCAGGCGCAACCCCAATCTGCAAAACCATAATAATCCTGGCGCGCATTGTTCAAACATTTCAGACCCGGCCTCTGCTTTGGGCTCTTGCTGCGGCTCGGGTGGTGCGCTTGTTCGCACATCCGAAGCAGCGCTGGCAGAAGCTTGTGCTTTAGCTGTGTCCTGCACCAGGTGCCAACTGAACTGCCGAAAATGGCGAACAACTAGGTGCTAAACTAGGCGACAATGCATAAACAATGTCTACGTACGCAGGCATGCTAGGACCAGCACGGTTTCATGCCTTATCCGTTCTCTCCTTATCCACCTCTACTCCTCCACTGCCCAGCATGAAATCTGGTTGGACTTTAATACTTTCCGACTACAGGCCAACCTGACAAACATGTGAGCGCGAACGACTGCAAGAGCAGGAAACAAGTGAACAGTGAGAGTCAACATAATGACAGACACCTGATGGCATAGACAGCCTCTCTGGATGCATTCTGGTGACGTGTACGACACTGTCCTCCGTGACATCTTTGACGGTGGACTCTCTCTGCGATCCGCTTGTTGCCTTGCGAAGCGACCGCCACTCAACTGGCCCGATCTTGAAAACATCACACCCTACCTCCCAACACTCAAATAATCGACATCAGCCAACTCTCACAATCACAAGAAATAACCCCGGCGCGCCTTGTTCAATCATGCTCAAACAGTTCAGACCTGGCCTCTGCTTTGGGCTTTTGTTGCGGCCCGGGTGGTGCACTTGTGCGCACATCCGAAGCAGAGGAAGAAGCTTGTGCTTTAGCTGCGTCCTGCCAAATGCAAGACGAACTACTCAACACGGCGAAGAATGAAGCTGAACCCGACGACAATGCAGCCACGACCGTTTAAACATTCTTTACAAACAGTAGTACTCTTAACGCTGGAACCACAACAGTTGCGTCACTCATTAGTTGCCCTGCCACCTCTACTCCTCCACTGCCAAGCATGAACTCTAGTTGGACTCTAGTACTTTCAGATTTCAGACCAACCTGCAAAACATGTGAGCACAAACCACTCCAAAAGCAGGAACCAAGTGAGAGTCAACAAAATGACAGGCACCTGATGGCATAGATAGCCTCTCTGGATGCATTCTGGTGACGTGTACGACACTGTCCTCCGTGACATCTTTGACGGTAGACTCTCTCTGCGATCCGCTTGTTGCCTTGCGAAGCGACCGTCACTCCACTGGCCCAAGACTGAAAACATCACACCCTACCTCCCAACACTCAAATCATCGACATCAGCCAACTCTCACAATCACAAGAAATAACCCCGGCGCGCATTGTGCAAACATGTTCAAACAGTTCAGACCTGGCCTCTGCTTTGGGCTTTTGTTGCGGCCCGGGTGGTGCACTTGTGCGCACATCCGAAGCAGAGGAAGAAGCTTGTGCTTTAGCTGCGTCCTGCCACATGAAAGTCGAACTACTCAACACGGCGAAGAATGAAGCCGAACCCGACGACAATGCAGCCACGACCGTTTAAACATTCTTTACAAACAGTAGTCTTAATGTCACTCATTAGTTGCCCTGCCACCTCTACTCCTCCACTGCCAAGCAGGAACTCTAGTTGGACTCTAGTACTTTTTAGATTTCAGACCAACCTGCAAAACATGTGAGCACAAACCACTCCAAAAGCAGGAACCAAGTGAGAGTCAAGAAAATGACAGGCGCCTGATGGCATAGATAGCCTCTCTGGATGCATTCATTTGTGTCTGTTTTTGTGTCGGTTTTTGACCAATGTTGATCGCCCGCAACCATTTGGCTCAAGGCCCTTCTGTACCATAGCAATACTCATGATAGCGTGACAAAAGGAACCTTTGCAGGCCGCTTACAGGATTATCCAACAAGACAATCCACCAGGGACAATACATCCTCCAATCATCCATATTGGCATATTGGACTCTCTCCGGAATAGATCCAGGGACCGAATAAACGACCTCTACTACCACAGGGTACCAGTTCCCTTCTGGGATAGGTACCCCCGGCAGTGGGCCTCAATTTGTGGTAGCGGAGCTACTGGTGACATGTACGACACTGTCCTCCGTGACATCTTTGACGGTGGACTCTCTCTGCGACCCGCTTGTTGCCTTGCGAAGCGACCGTCACTCCACTGGCCCAAGACTGAAAACATCACACCCTACCTCCCAACACTCAAATCATCGACATCAGCCAACTCTCACAATCACAGGAAATAACCCCGGCGCGCATTGTGCAAACATGTTCAAACAGTTCAGACCTGGCCTCTGCTTTGGGCTTTTGTTGCGGCCCGGGTGGTGCACTTGTGCGCACATCCGAAGCAGAGGAAGAAGCTTGTGCTTTAGCTGCGTCCTGCCACATGAAAGTCGAACTACTCAACACGGCGAAGAATGAAGCCGAACCCGACGACAATGCAGCCACGACCGTTTAAACATTCTTTACAAACAGTAGTACTCTGAATGCTGGAACCACAACAGTTGCGTCACTCATTAGTTGCCCTGCCACCTCTACTCCTCCACTGCCAAGCATGAACTCTGGTTGGACTCTAGTACTTTCAGATTTCAGACCAACCTGCAAAACATGTGAGCACAAACCACTCCAAAAGCAGGAACCAAGTGAGAGTCAACAAAATGACAGGCACCTGATGGCATAGATAGCCTCTCTGGATGCATTCTGGTGACGTGTACGACACTGTCCTCCGTGACATCTTTGACGGTGGACTCTCTCTGCAATCCGCTTGTTGCCTTGCGAAGCGACCGCCACTCAACTGGCCCGATCTTGAAAACATCACACCCTACCTCCCAACACTCAAATAATCGACATCAGCCAACTCTCACAATCACAAGAAATAACCCCGGCGCGCATTGTGCAAACATGTTCAAACAGTTCAGACCTGGCCTCTGCTTTGGGCTTTTGTTGCGGCCCGGGTGGTGCACTTGTGCGCACATCCGAAGCAGAGGAAGAAGCTTGTGCTTTAGCTGCGTCCTGCCACATGCAAGACGAACTACTCAACACGGCGAAGAATGAAGCTGAACCCGACGACAATGCAGCCACGACCGTTTAAACATTCTTTACAAACAGTAGTACTCTTAATGCTGGAACCACAACAGTTGCGTCACTCATTAGTTGCCCTGCCACCTCTACTCCTCCACTGCCAAGCATGAACTCTAGTTGGACTCTAGTACTTTCAGATTTCAGACCAACCTGCAAAACATGTGAGCACAAACCACTCCAAAAGCAGGAACCAAGTGAGAGTCAACAAAATGACAGGCACCTGATGGCATAGATAGCCTCTCTGGATGCATTCTGGTGACGTGTACGACACTGTCCTCCGTGACATCTTTGACGGTAGACTCTCTCTGCGATCCGCTTGTTGCCTTGCGAAGCGACCGTCACTCCACTGGCCCAAGACTGAAAACATCACACCCTACCTCCCAACACTCAAATCATCGACATCAGCCAACTCTCACAATCACAGGAAATAACCCCGGCGCGCATTGTGCAAACATGTTCAAACAGTTCAGACCTGGCCTCTGCTTTGGGCTTTTGTTGCGGCCCGGGTGGTGCACTTGTGCGCACATCCGAAGCAGAGGAAGAAGCTTGTGCTTTAGCTGCGTCCTGCCACATGAAAGTCGAACTACTCAACACGGCGAAGAATGAAGCTGAACCCGACGACAATGCAGCCACGACCGTTTAAACATTATTTACAAACAGTAGTACTCTTAATGCTGGAACCACAACAGTTGCGTCACTCATTAGTTGCCCTGCCACCTCTACTCCTCCACTGCCAAGCATGAACTCTAGTTGGACTCTAGTACTTTCAGATTTCAGACCAACCTGCAAAACATGTGAGCACAAACCACTCCAAAAGCAGGAACCAAGTGAGAGTCAACAAAATGACAGGCACCTGATGGCATAGATAGCCTCTCTGGATGCATTCTGGTGACGTGTACGACACTGTCCTCCGTGACATCTTTGACGGTGGACTCTCTCTGCGACCCGCTTGTTGCCTTGCGAAGCGACCGTCACTCCACTGGCCCAAGACTGAAAACATCACACCCTACCTCCCAACACTCAAATAATCGACATCAGCCAACTCTCACAATCACAAGAAATAACCCCGGCGCGCATTGTGCAAACATGTTCAAACAGTTCAGACCTGGCCTCTGCTTTGGGCTTTTGTTGCGGCCCGGGTGGTGCACTTGTGCGCACATCCGAAGCAGAGGAAGAAGCTTGTGCTTTAGCTGCGTCCTGTAGCAGATGCGCCACAGAAACCAAGGGGCATGACTCTTCATAGCATCAAGTCACTAGAAACGGGATCAGAAAGCCACAACAAACGTGCAGACGGAAACATGAATGCCATGTTGGCCCTGCTCAACTGCACAAATAACATCAAAGCAGCCTTCACACCCGTTCACTCTCCAGCGCCACGGCAAATTTCGCGGAGTGTCCTAACCGATTCCTATCGCGAAGGCTTTCTCGTTGAAGCACGCGCAGCATTTACATATGCAAGACTGCATTCACCAAACTCCCCATCCCAGTTGTTCAGTGACCCGGTCAGAAGGGAACCTTTTTCGGGGTTGAGTGGAGAAGCCACTACCTTTCCGCGAATTAGGGTGGCACCGAACAACTACTGACCGCTTGTGTGGCACCAAAGAAGGGCCACTCCTAACACACCGCGCCTGTCTTTCAACACGAAACAAATCAAGTAAAGAACGGGATGAGCTCCTATGGCTCTGTTGGGCATCCGGCCACACTGTTCCTGAAAAAAAAAGCAATGTTCAGAATTCTTTCGGAACCCATCACGCACGTCCTTCAGTGTGACTTCTCAGCCACCCTAGGGGGCGGCATGCCTTTGACCAAGGCAATATTTTCTCTGCAACAAACCAGCTAGCACATGTCTGTGCGCTTTGCCCATAGGATGGTCCGTGCAGCTTGTGCGTAAGTGCCCCCAATCGGCAAGATCACCAAATCTTGGAGATCCCTCTTAAAGTGCCCCAAGAAACACAACGGATATTGTTGAGACCGCCAAAACGACACGAGGCTTGGGTTGGGACCATTCCTATAAATCGTTACTGGGATGTCCTCAGATTCCCTGCTAAAAGTTTAACTTATGGGTTTAATGGAAACCCTCCACTAAACTAACTAAAAACATCAAAACACCTAAGGGACCGTATGGCTGGGAAAAACCAAGTGAAGCAATGGTTTGCAATGGAAAGTGCATCGTCCGGCCCCGGGTACCATTGCTGAAGCGTAGAGCCTACAAACTATTATTTAGAAGGGTCAATCTCTGGAACCACGTCCGAGGCTTGGGTTGCCTTCGGGGTGTTTTGAATGGACCTCATGGCTCGGTCGCTTTCGGTCCTCGGCTCCGCTTGCGGCTGGCCCCACTTCTTGCCTCAGCAGCAAGATGATGAATTCCACGGTTTGTTGGCATCAACAGGGTAGAACATCACCACTCTCAAAAGGGGATTGCTTGACGTTTTTGTAGGTATATACGGTATCACAAGATTGCCACATGGGCATCTGCAGATTCTATTTTCCCCCGCAGAGCCATCGATCCACTTTTCCAGGGTTTGTCCAAATGGGGTTTGGTCTCCGATTTCGGCGGTTTTCCTTTTGGCTTCCCTCACCACTCTGGGGGGGACCTCGAAAACGAGCGGCAAACGCTGGAGCACAAATTCCAGTGAAGGTTTGGTCGCTTCGCCCGAGTCTGCGGCGCCTTCCGCCCCGAGCGCAGTGCCCGACGCTCCCGTGGGCTCGGCATGGGGTTCGGGAGTCATGAGGGCGGTTTACAGTTTAAGCATCACCGTTTATATCTTTCTTTTTATCGGCTTCCCTCGAATTGATGGTTTGGAGTGGTACCCAACCATCACCTCCGCCAACGGAAAAAAAACAGAGGAAAGCTCCTGTATGGTGGTTGACTTCAAAAGGAAACCCAGCCCCAAAAACAAACATGGGGTCACTGGATGATTGGACACTTCTGTGAAATGTGGCACATCACTGGCTGCACTCGGCGCCTGGACGCCTTCCCCGACAAGGCTTGAGCAAGCGAGACAGGGCAAGCGAGAGGTTGGCACGGGGGCGACTCATTAAACACTTGCGCGTCCACATGCGGCTTGATTGATTTGAGTGGCAACATGTCAAGAGAGCTTGTTCGATCGAACTCGCAGTCTGGGTAGGCTGGCAGTAGAACTACCCTAATCAGGCCAGCCACCCACTCAGCCAAGCACGACCAAGCGAGCTGTGGCTAGATTTGCGCGATTTGCCGGGCTGTTGCACCAGAACTTGAATGGAAGATCAACCGTTTAGCCGTTTAGAGATAAGTTTAGAGGCTGTTTCCCGAGATCAAAAGCCCCTTCCATTTCAACCTTCCGATCATCCGTCTCTGAGATAAAACCCCGAATCCTCTGAGACAAAACCACAAAGCCTGTGTGGAATATCAATGCGGCAATGCCGCCCGTAGCATGTTGATGACTTAAAACAACAGCTGTTGGGGTCCTTGTGCATCGCGCCAGGTTCTGCTTGGTTCCACCGATGTTGCCCAGCCCTGCCTCCTGGTTTACTTGCCATGACAAGTTAATTCGAGGGTCTGGACCCCCATCCCCGAGCCTTCCCCAAAGTGCCATGCCTTCTCGAAGAAAGTAACACAAAACAATTGAGAGGGCACGATGACGATGCCTCATTGGGCACGTGGTGGTTTCCCAAGTTCACCATGCGCTTTTCTTGGGGAGCCAGAGGACGCGCATCCCGAGTTCCAAAGCATGCAAAGAAAGTTCGGCTTCGCCAACTGCCTGCAAAACAGGAGAAAACACACACTTGTCAAATGTGTCCCAACATATGGCATCGATTTCCTAGAGGTTCCGCTTTGAATTCCATCCAACAAGTGCTCCCGGCTTGTGAAAGCGTGCTTTTGTGTGGCTCCCTGAACGCTCTCCACCCTCATGAAGTTCAGTTCTTTTGCACCTTCAGTGAGATGCCAAGTCCCTGCAAGAGCCACATCCTCTCAGGGAATGTATTTTTGGACAGTTCCAAGGCAAACCAAACAAACACCAACGAACTTGGTTGCTGTGGACCCCTCTGCAAAAAGCTTATTGTTTTGTGGGTTAAAAAAACACCTTGATTTTGATCAACAAGTTGAAGTCTGAAGATCCAACCCGAGGACAATCAAGCCAACTGGGATGTCACATGTCCAAAGTTGGGCTTTCAGGATCCTGCAGCACTTTGGAAGGAAGATGGTGGGTGGTGGCCCCAGCGTATGGTGGCAGAGAAAAAAGGCAAAGGACTACCAACCGTCTATTTGTAGGGTTCCTATTTTTGAAATACGAGCCTGTGTCAAGCAAAATCGGTGGTCGCATAATGGACATACGCAAAACAAACCTCTGTAGGTCCAATGAATCTGCGGATATTTCAGGAAGTCACCTGCCACGTGTGTGCTTTCCAATATTGACCATAGTGTCAAGACATTGTAAACTGAGATTGGCAAAATGTGTACAATTTGACCTGCGAGTGAAGGTACTGGACGTACAAGCGGACGAGTGGCATACGAATGGACACTCAAGTAGATGTCCGGGTGGACATGCAACTAGCAAACTCGTCGTACAAAATCCAACTGGCACAAATATAAGGCCAATGTTTGCGAAAAGCAACGCTTATATTCATTTGAACAAATACAAGCCTGAATCATGTTTGACAAGTGAGACTTTGTAGGAGGTTGGCCACTCGTCCAACCTCTCACTCGCCCACTCGCGCCACTCACACATTCATTCATTCACTTGCACACTCGTGCGCTCGTACGTCCACTCGTACGCCACTCGTCCACTCGTATGTCCGCTCGACGTGCACTCGTTAAGACCCTACTCGCACTGTCATTCATTTGGAGCTTCAAAATGCCCTTTAGGATGTTATAACATATACCGGGAATTTCTTGACGGAACCTATGCTTCTTCCGCTACGCCCTCCTTTTCGAGATCAAGACGCGGCCTGGCGTGCAGGGTTTCCAATATAGAGGTGTCACAGTGGCGTGCCGGACGCGCCATTTCAGAAACACAAGTCGCAAATTGTCTGCAAGATCTTTCTTGGCATCATTACCTGCGCAGAAGTGATGCAGATTGACCTGTGCGTCACGGCAACAAGGTGACAAATCCAGATCAGCATCCGCAAAACCGCAAGGCATCAACTTAACCGAAATCGCTGAACTTTGGGCCTTTGCAACTGACGCAAGATCCACATTGGTCAGTTCATAGCTACTATGCGCAAAATGTAGTGATTGCTTGAGTTGTTGGATATTTGAGTAGCTTGTCGAAGTATATTATAGCGCCCCCCCCCCGCACTTGGCGAGTTCAAGGTTGAAGCACCAACAACCGTGGTAAAGAACCGCATGCTTACTTGTGATTGTTTGAAGGAAGGTTCATTGCTGGTTGCTACAATACAAGCACAAGCACTCACAAAAAACCCGATTGGCAAGGACGCGTACGTGCATTCCTTGTCAAAATGTATATAGTTAAGACCCATCAGGATTCCGAATCTCTCTAAGCGAAAGCTGAGCACAAAAGGCTTGGCTGACTTGGCCGGAGAGGAAATTTGGTCATCCAAAAACCCTCAGTTGCCGTCGAGGTTGGGCCACTCACCGATTTGCAAGACACGAGTCGGCTTAGCAACCATGGCTTAAACATGTTGCTTTGGGCCAGCCGATTGTTGGCCGTGGTTGCCGTTGTTCGCTCCAAGCAAAATCAGAAACAAAACATGGAATAATATTGGCCACTTGCCAACATGCGGGCTCCCTTGCAATCCACCTTGGCAGGGTTTGCCTTTAGCCAACCAACCGTTGAAAAACACCTACTATTTTTAGAAAATCAATTCCAAAAACCGAAAATAAGGGGTCATGGCTTTCCGCTTGTTTCATCCCCAAAAAGCTCACCATAACATAGCCAGTGCTCCCAGTTACTACTGTAAGTACCCAGGTGTTTCTACCTCTAAAGTCTTGATGATGTCTTCCTCCTGATTACCTACGATATAGTGGTAACTGGAAGCATTGAGCTACGCAGTTCCCATATTTTTGCTTGTCCAACTCTCCTTCTGGTTTGCCAAAAAGGGCCGTCGCAAGTCCTTTTGTCGGGTGAAGCCACCGATGGAGTCGAGTGCTCTCGTCGGTTGGCCGCACCTCAAAGCCTTTGGCACGGAGTCCCAGAGCACGGGGCAGGATGCAAATGGCACATGGGAGATATGGCCATGGGTCAAAATCCCGTACCCCCAGTGAACATCCCAATCCCCACTACAATAGACTAAAATGGGTGGTGCACCTACCCCAAAATGGTACCATTGGATTTGACCCACAGCCATATGAGTTGTAGGGCACCCCAAAGGGTGGACGGAGGATTTGCGTCCACCATTCTTCGCATTCTTCGCATCGGCCCCTCAATCCTAATACGAGCTGGCGCCTGACTGTGCCGGCTAGGCTTAGCACTAGGTCCATTGAGGGACTTCACCATTGGGAGGCCCTTGACAGTAGAATCTCGCCTTGTGTGAACACCCATTTGAGGCATCCATGGAACGTCGCTTTGGGGAAAGCCTCACTCGGTCTTGCCCAACGGGAATTGACAGGCCCTTTAGTCAAGCATCGAAGACAGGTTCACTAACTCGAGGGCAAACCATGAGGCTGCATTGTGGTTGTGTGGTTGTGTAGAAATGTGTTTCGTGGAGTGCGTCACTTGGGTGTGAAACACCTCGACCGCTCCATGATTGAACATATGCCCCTTTTATAAGTATGCGAGTGGCATGCTTCATGTTTGGTCTCCTGCAACATGTCACATTCGTTTGCGGCTGAAATTCAGGAACGGTTGGTTTTGCCGGGAAACCGTTGGGATCTCAGTAAAGGAAATCACTAGCTGGATGACTGCTGTTGACACTCTGCAAAAAGTTTATTTTGTGGGTCCAATAGGGAAAATCCTCTGCTTCCAAAAAATAAGTCCAAAGATCCAACCAAATAGCCACAAAGCTTGGATGGCTCGGCAATTGCATCCCTCTCCGCAAAATCCTCGGCGCCGGATTCAAGAGATGCCCGCCGGCCGGTGAGCGAATCTCGTCCCCTTGGACAGGATCAAACAAAGACTCATACATGTATACACATACTGGGCTGTCCTCAGATCCCCTGCTAAGAGCGACTAACTTTTTTTGGTTGAATGGAAACTCCTGCTAAACCATAACAAACTAAAAGCCTTCACGATATGGCCGGGAACCATCCAGCATATCTTCACATTGACCCATATATATATATATATATTATATATATATATATATATATCCGCGAGATGAGAAAGCGTGTATGCACACTTCATGTGTGGTGTTTGCATATGCGTTAACCACCATCTGTTTCTCTGTGTCTCCGTGTACATAGAGATCTGGTTCTATGTATGTATAGGCTTATGGGCGATATCAACATCCTTGAGACCTCGGCTTCAGCGGAACGGCAAGAGGTGGCACACCACCAAACAAGGTTAGCTGTGTTGTGGAGCCAACCCAACATGTTCACGCTTGACTGCAGGCAGCCTGAAACATAGACATGCCATGAAATGCCCAGGAATGAGTCAAAAGACTTAGTATGACGGTATGTCCATTGGTGTAACTCCGATCAAGCAACCTTGCCCACTTCCATGTTGTTTTCATCCACCGGCCACACGGGCATTGCGCACTAGTAGTGAGCCTGGACTGCAAATGACAGGCCACACGTCAGACCACCACAGAATATGATGGTTCCTTTACACCAGGGTAAAAGTAATGGCAAAATTCCTCT